GAAGAAAATTGTAGTTCGTACTGATCACGAAGCTCTTAAATTCTTGTCTACTTGTAAGTTCACTAACTCGCGATTGATGCGTTGGTGCCTATTCCTACAAGACTACAACTTGACGTGCGAGTATTTGCCGGGAAGTCAGAATAAAGCAGCAGATTTTTTATCCAGATATATACTAAACGATAGCGACGATGAAGAAGGCGTGATTAGTATAGCCAGTTTGATGAAAAAACCATCACAAGCTCTTATAAAAAACTTTATCAATCTTCAATATCTTCAAGAACAGGACGCTTTCATAAATAGGATCAAGAAACGAGGAAGTTTTCACAACCGATTCGTGGTCTAGCAGAATTTAGTGTTCAAAAGGGAAAAAAGTAAAACCAAACTTGTGCTCCCAGAACTCATGATCAGTGATTTAATAACTGAACTTCACGAGATGTACGGACATGTAGGATGTCGGAAAATCTTCAAGATGCTAGAAGAAGACTTCTACATCCCAAAAGTACGGAAAAAAGTTAGCAGCATAATTAAACGCTGTGACTTGTGCCAACGTACCAAGTACTACAATCAGAGAATAGATACAGTGATGCAATCAATTCTAGTGAACGAACCTAGAGAACTATTGTCGATTGATTTTTATGGTCCCCTGCCTACTTCAATTGGAGGAGTCAAGTATATTTTGACTACCATTGATGTTTTTAGTAAATACGTCGTAATGTATCCTATGAGACGTGCTACTACCCATACAACCATCAAAAAGATTTTTGAAGACTATGTGCCAAAATATGGGAAACCAAAATCAATCATTAGCGACCATGGTACTCAATTCACATCAAAGAATTGGAAAGAAAAACTGGTATCTACGAACATAAATCTGATTTTCTCCAGTATACGCCATCCGCAAAGTAACTCAGTAGAGCGTATACATAGAGAGTTGGGACGCTTCTTAAGAGCATATGCCCATGAAAATCCAAAAGGCTGGGCCTCGTTGGTCTCAAAAATACAAGATATAATGAATTCTGTTTACCATGATACAACCGAATATACACCTATGGAAATCCACCTAGGAAGGAAACCAGATCGCTTTTGGCATCGCTGGTTTTCCCCGAATAATTCAACAGTATCTAACAGAATCACTAATATTCGCGAAAAGGTTCATGAAAAGCTAAGCAAAAGAGCTCTAGAACACAATATGAATTCCGAACATAAACCATACAAAATAAACGACATTATGTTACTAAAAAGTCACAATGCGACAGATAAATCCGAAGAACGCTTCAAAAAATTTATGAGACTGTACGAAGGACCATACTTAGTACAATCAATCATAGGTATGGATACATACGTACTCCGTCACAAGAATGGAAAATTTCGGGGAAAATTTCACAGCTCGTTATGAAAGCCTTATCACTGTTAGTCGCCAGAGGTCGATTCAATATATGCAAATAGATTCTCCGAACTCATGCCTATATACTAGCCTTCACCGAGAAGATTTCTGAATAATTTTTGGCTATGGCCCTCTGTAATAAAAATCAGAGCACCCAGACCGACCTCTCGGATTTGAGGGACTTTATCCCTCATCCGCAGGGTCGGCCCTTTATACCTTCTTCTAACCTGGTACCTTGGCTGGAGTGCAAGAGAACGCAAACTCCAGCCAGGTTCCCCAAGGTGGATTCGCCTATGGTGAGAGCACCAAAACAAAGGGTGAAGGATGCCCCCATCCCCTTCCTGCCCTCCAGCGTTCCCCGACCTGCCAACATCGAGCCTGTTGTGGAAGAGAAGAAAGCTTCCAAACAACAGCTCCGCAGAGTAAGGAAACGAATCGCTAAACTAGGCGCAAGGATAGCGGAAAAGGAGGAAGAAATTAAGCAGCTACGGGAGGAAGCAACCACCAGCGCAAAAAATAAAAATAAATTGTAAATAAAATAAAAAAAAAAAAAAAAAAACAACAACAAATCAGACACCATTAATCACATTAGAATGGCTCGTTCGATTCGCCATTCTAATGGGGGGGGATATGTAACGGTCCTGTCTGATTTGTCTCCTATTTTCCTCTGCAAAACGGCAACCCGTCTTACACGAGACAATTAGAGAAAATCGGTAATTGAGCGTAGGCGCTTTTCAAACGTATATGCAAATGTGTTAGGGCAACTCTGCGAAAACATTACCATATAAGGAGCGTGACGTCACGACCATGGGAAAATTTATTGTTTACAACCGAAAATCGTTAATTATAAAGTTTTTTAAACGAACAAAAGTATTTCTTAGTTAAATTTGATGCGATGATCTTGAATTTCATGTTAATTTAACTCTCAAATAGATATTTATTAGTCAAATCTAATTTACAAGTTAACATTGTTAGTTATTTTGCAATAAACAACGATATTGTTATTTCAAGTATGCGATCACAATCTCGACATATTAAAACAGAAAAGCAAGAATTTGACACTTTGATAACCCAATATTAACTGAGTTATCAATAAATAAATAATTTATAATTTTTTTAAACAATTAAAATGACACAGTTAGATAGAAAATCGATCATAAGTATATGTAAAATTGATGATTATGATTGTTGCTAATTTGCTGATTTTTAAACCGCTAAAAAAGAAAATTGCAAATCTGTTTTTTGATTATTATTCAAAATTAGAGAGCAACATTAATCATCTTTTATATGGATAATAATCTTCTAACCACAAGCGATTTTTCCATGTAAAAATTTTCCATTGTAAAAATGGCGTAATTTGATTATTAAATTGTATAGCTTATAACTTTAAGAGGCGATTTTTCCTAGAGATGCAATTTATATTAAAAAATTCATCTTTTCGAGTTTAATTTTTTAAATCGCACAATTGTAAATTCGTTCGAGCCATTTTGCAATAAAACGTGTACAAAATTTGCGTCAAAGACAAAAATAGCGTTGTAGGGGCTACCAAGCGTAGAAAGGAGCCCATTTCGCATGTATAAATTCGCTCGTCGCTGCGGCAACAGGACTCACTTTCCTACCTTGCTTAGCAGCGCGAGCACTGTTGTTGAAATAAAGCCTCAGCTATTTCCTGAGACGAATTTCTTTTCAGTGGTTAGCCTGTTAAACTCCTTCCCTAACGATCTCTAAGAGCTCAACTCATGAGACTATTTCTCTCATGAGAAAAAAGCAGCCTTAGAGATCTTCCCTTCCGAAATACATTTGCTGTTAAGAGATCGGATTGAGCAGTAATTGCGGCGCTGTCGGGCGTTTCCCCGATAGATTACACCAGCTTACACCACATAATGCCATCATTGAAAAATTTAAATACGAGACTGCGCATCTTTTTCTGGGAATGGTTCATGACGTAAAGGTGCTGCAAGGACCGGGTGTCATCATTGGCAGATTTCCCGTAGCTGAGGGAGGGGGGGGGGGGGGGAGTACCGTTGATGTGAATGGTCATAAGTCGGAACTTGGTGAAACTTCGCCAGAGAGAGGATGTCGAGTTTAATATGACAAAGGTGCTTTCTAATTCACGGATACTACTGGCATATTTGGATTTGGGAATTGTAAAGAATCGTCCGCTCCTGGTCATACAGATTGCTTATGGAAGTATTCAGTGCTCTAAATAATACAGGTGGGCAGATGTCACTAGTTGATAAGCGAGTAATTATAAGGAGTTTAACCCATTATGTCCCAAATGGACGATTTTTTTTTACTGTTTTCAATTGATTTTCTAAATGTGAAGTCGGTGTTAAAAAAAATAGGGAAAAGACATTTCCGACATAAAATTGTCTGAACTTTCGATCTACGTTGTCAGAATTTTGAAAAAATGCATATTAATAAATTTATAATTGTTTATTTAACAAAAAATGCGAAATTTTGAGTGGTAAAAATTTTTAAATCCTTGTTTTCGAGTTGAATCTAAATGTAGATCTTTATGAATAGCACATAAAAGGCGTCCTCGCATCCTGGACTTTAAGTTATAGTGGTAGGTTTTTCGAAATTCAACATGGCGGCATCCAATATGGCGGTTCAAAGAAGGACATTTTTTGCTACTTTGCGTAATTTTTTGAAAAATAATATTTTTTTACCAATATTTATGAAACTTCGTATAAAGGGGTTTTTTGGACCGCTGATTACGAACTAATTATCAGATTTTTAAAATTCAAGATGGCGGATCCAATATGGCGGTTGAAAAACGAAAAATGATGGCAAGATGGCAGATTCAATATGGCGTCGAAAAATTCAAAAATTTTCTTAGGTTTTAGTTAGTTTTTGAGGATTTTCCGGGTTTTAAATGTTTTATCGAAATAAAGTACGTTACTTAGCCGTCAAAAAATATGCCGTTGCCCAGCTCTCACCACGAGGAGGTGAACGCAAAACAGGGAGCCTTTTTTTTAATTTTTTAATTTATTTTTTTTTTATTTTTTTTTTATTTTTTTATTTATTTATTTTTTTTTATTTCTTTTTTTTTTATTTTTATTTTTAAATATTTTGCAATAGTGGAAAGAGAAGTACAGAAATGTTCAAGTAATATTTTAATTTTCATGTAATAGAGAAAAGCAAGATAAACATGAATAAACGTTGCAGGGTTTACACATTTTATTAGATCTTTTACCACAGTTTTTAACATTACTACAATTCTTTTTTGATTGTACTGTAATCAGTTCGTGTAATTTACATTTTTCAGCCATTCCAAGATAATGTTCTGCGACTTCTAAGATAATTTCTTTGGTTCCTATTTTTTTATCACATACTGAATTTCGCAAAACAGTTGCATTAGCAATTGATGATCGAATAAACCACTTGAACATTGGCCACGTCCATTTCTTTGCTGTGATACATGGCATAGCATTACTGCAATGTTCATTCTGTTTGTCTATTCCACCCATGAACAAGTTATAAAGTTTGAATGTTATAGGAAAATCTAAATTCACCCTAGAACATTCAGTTGCTGAAAATCGTTTCATATGCTAAAGAGGAGTAATTCCTGCTGCAGTCGAAAAAATAGATACTTCCTTTGAATCTTTAACTGTTATAAAATCATACCACTATTTTTTTCATGCTGAACAATGAATGTGCCGCGTTCTGCTTTCTTATCAAGATTATTTTTTACTTTTACTCGATTTACTCTAACTGTACCTGTAGCCTTCAAACCAAGATTATGCAAATGAACTAAAAGATCTGGGCTTGTAAAATAATTATCAAACCATACGTGGTATTGCATAATTTTTCTAGGAACGACTGAAGTAAGCAACTTCTGTACCATTAACATTACGAAACAACTTCCTAAAGAACATTTAGATAGTTTTAATTTTTTATCTGCGGAATAAACTTGTGAGCCTTGACCGCAATAGATGTCACAATCAAATAAATATCCTGCTGGACTAGCAATCCCAATAATTTTTAGTCCAAACCGATCTGGTTTATTAGGCAAAAACTGTAACAAGTTTGTTCTTCCGTAAAACTTCACCATCATCTCGTCGATAGCCAACGCTGTAGAAAAAAAACCAAATTGTAAGCAATTTTTTCTATAAATTTCAAGAACTTTTCTTACTTTCCAAGCTTTATCATTGCTATTTTGATCTTCGGCTTTAGATAATTTTATTTTACATTTTATTTTTAAGAACTTATTTCTACTCATCGCTGATTTCACAAGATTACATCCTAGTAATAGTTTATTGGACCAATAATCTTTTTGCGATTTTCTTATATTGATGATTGATAATAGTATAATTCCAAGGAAAACATGCAATTCTTGTAATGTTAGAGGATAACCATTTTCTTGTGTACACTCTACAATATAATTTTTGATTTCTGTAGAGTAATATAATTCATATAATTGAACATATGACATACTTTGAATCATATTCTTTGTTTTATCAGAATGCAAATTTTTATCTTCGAGAATGTCAGTGTACTTCTTTTCTCCACTTACCCAACTATACTCATGGTTTGGCTCTAATATTGATTGATTTTCTTCATACTCATGTAGTACCTTATGATATGAAACATTTGGAATTTTATTAGGACTGTTTGAAGGATCTTGTTCATCAGAATCTGATTCAGAATCAGAGCTTCCAGAATCATTTTCATTAGGAATGTAAACTGCACTAATACCTCCATCTTCATCACTGTCAATTTCAAGTACTTCGGTAACTCGTTTTGTCCGTTTTTTTGTGGTTTGCCAGACATAATAAATGGAAAATCGTACAAAATAAGAATTCGCTGTGATTAGTTTTAATATTTACTAATATATAAATAAGCTAACACCAATAAAATAGAGTAGGTAAAATACTGTAAATAAAGTACAGAACAAGAATATAGTGAAATGAAATTATGTATTACCGATAGATATTTTTCAAAAAATACTTTATGAAGGATTACAAAAACTTAACGAAAATCGTTACGCAAATAACTGTTATGATACATAAAAAATAACTTGATGTAATTTTTTATTGCGAGCAGAAGTTTTATAAAATATGGAATATAATAATTCTAGTAGTCAAAAGCTTGAAAATAATGATCAATCTAGCTTTTGACCATATTTTTAACCGACAATTCAAAACTTTGAAAACTGTTAGTATATACATGACATAAGCTCAAGACACCCTTATACATGCATTTTCTTAGGTTAGAATATTGTTACAGGATAGAAAACTTTGAATTAGCTATGTAAAGTTTTAAAAATTTGCCTATAAATTGTTAATTAGTGATTTAAAAGACCTACAGGTACCAATTTTTATAAAAAATGAGACAATTTTTAAATTTTTAGCCGCCATATTAAATCCGCCATCTTAAATATTAAAAATCCGATAATTAATTCGTAATCAGCGACCCAAAAAACCTCTGTACACCAATTTTCATAAAAATCTGACTTTTTTCAAAATTTTATGCCGCCATGTTGGATCCGCCATCTTGAATTTTGAAAATCTGATTCTAAATTCGTAATCAGCGACCCAAAAAACCCCTGTACACGAAGTTTCATAAATATTGGTAAAAAAATATTGTTTTTCAAAAAATTACGCAAAGTAGCAAAAAATGTCCTTCTTTGAACCGCCATATTGGATGCCGCCATATTGGATGCCGCCATGTTGAATTTCGAAAAACCTACCACTATAACTTAAAGTCCAGGATGCGAGGACGCCTTTTATGTGCTATTCATAAAGATCTACATTTAGATTCAACTCGAAAACAAGGATTTAAAAATTTTTACCACTCAAAATTTCGCATTTTTTGTTAAATAAACAATTATAAATTTGTTAATATGCATTTTTTCAAAATTCTGACAACGTAGATCGAAAGTACAGACAATTTTACGTCGGAAATGTCCTTTTCCGATTTTTTTTAACATCGATTTCACATTTAGAAAATTAATTGAAAACAGTAGAAAAAAAAAATCGTTCATTTGGGACTTAATGGGTTAAGGATCTAGTGGAGTCCGAGTTCTCGGTGGTTTGTGAATTTCGGGCAAAAGTACGAATATCAACAGCAGACTTCAGCTTTCGATCCGGATTATACACAGAGCACTTCAGTTTAATCAAAAGCCGTGGCTTAAAACTTATGTAGATTTGAATAAGGAATAAAGAAAACAAGCTAAAAATGAATTTGAAAAGTTATTTTATAAACTCATGATTAATGCAGTATACGGAAAGACTATGGAGGATGAAAGGAAACGAAAAGACGTTAAATTAATTAGTGCATGGAGTGGCAGATATGGAGCAGAAGCACGGATCGCCCAACCCAACTTTTATAGTAGTTCAATCTTTGATGAAAATTTAGTAGCAATACAGTTATCATGGACATCTATTAGTATTAAAAAACAAATATTTATTGGATAAATAAATAACGCTCTCCATCTCTCAAAAACATTAGTATATGACTTTCACTATGGCTACATAATAGAAAGACTAGAGGCCTGCAATGGCTCGGTCGGTAGGGCGACGGACTCGTACTCGGTAGGCCCGGGTTCGATTCCCAGTTCCTGCTGATTGATACAAGCACCACTGAAAAAAGTTTCATGTGCTTTGTTCTCAAACACATTGCGAGCCTCCGTCGCTGATTAGCACTGATGGAGCATAAATAGAGCGACGTTAAATAAAAAAAAAAAAAAAATAAAAAAAAAAAAAAAAAAAAATAGAAAGACTAGCTCATAAAGCAAAATTACTTTATACTGATACAGATAACCTCGTATATGAATTTCAAGATGTTGATATATATGAAATAATGAAAGAATATATCAATAAATTTGATACATCAGATTACTCAGAAAATAATCAGTTTAATATGCCGTTAGTTAATAAAAAAGTTCTCGGTATTATGAAAGATGAATGCAATGGTAATATTATGAGAGAATTCATTGGACTTCGAAGTAAAATGTATAGTATACTAATAGAAAACCATCAAGCAATAAAGAAAGCAAAAGGCGTAAAAACACATACTGTCATAAAAACATTAGATCATGAAGATTATCGAAACTATTTATTGGATTTAGAAATTATTAGGCGTGAGCAATGCAATATACGAAGTGTATTGCATCAAGTAAGAACAGAAAGAGTGCAGAAAAGAGCACTAAGTCCATATGATGATAAACGATGTATATTCGATAAAAATCCTGATACACTTCCATGGGGTCATTACAAAACTATTGAAACGTCAAAGCTTAAAATCAAAAGTGCGGAACAACGAAGGAAAAGAAAGATCATAGAAATGGAAGAAAATCCTCAAGAAAGTTGTAAGCTTCCTCCAACCTCCGATAGAAGTCGCTTAGAACAGAGTAGTAATAGTGGGGAGAAAGAAGGTTTAGTTAGGAAAAGACTAAGGATAGAATAGTGAGAAAGTGGGGATAACGGTAGAGTGGGGGATAACGGCAGACATGGCGACTGAAGACGGAAGAGTAGGGAAATGGAATCATATGAGAAATTACTCAAGTGGGGATAACTCGAAAAAAGAGGGAAATTACGGCGGGTCGAGTTCTCAGAGAGAGAACGCATGGTACAAAACGGAGAACACACCTCAGTCCGTCGCAGTTATTCAGCAGTAGGTTGAAGCAACAGCAGTAGTCTCTCTTCCTAGTTCTTCTATTCGACTTCTAGATTTTCTCTTAAAAGTAAGTTTCTTATATACGAGTAGCTCTTTAACTATATCCTAGTAGTATTAATTATTGATTGATTTTTTTTATTGTAGAATGGATTTTTCAACAATCAATAAAATAGCAAAATCGGTATTCTTACCTAGAAAGACAATGTCGCAATTAGAAAATAACTGTACCTATATGATAATGAAATTAAGATGGCTGAATACTCGCTATGGATTCAGTGTAGTAATAACCGTAGACAACGAATATGAAATTTTTCTACCAAAGCGAGTATGCTTAGCGTTAGAAAAAGACGAAGATATGTTAAAGAAATTATACGAGACCATGGAGAAAAAAGAATTGTTTATTCATCATCGAGAAGGCTCGAATTTTGAATATAAAAATTAAATTAGTATAATGTGTAAATGTATACAAAGTAAATAAATTAATATTTAAAATTTTAATTATGTCTTTAATCCTAATTTAATTATTCCTTCAAATCCTTTTTTTAGAGAGGTTGAAGTAATTACTTACGCGTTCTTTCTGCTGAGTTTCGACTTAGTGTAAAGGTCTTATAACGACTAAGAAGGATATTAGTAAAACAAGTTGATATATAGACAAATAATGATTACTTGGTGAGAGGCTTATCCCTTTATTTATTCTTAAGATCGTGACGTAATATCAATTAGTCTGACGGTAAGCAAGAATTCTAAACATTTCGGATTCGGAGTTGGACGCTCGATAATCGAAATAACACGAAAGGATTTATATTAGTTCAACAATGCGTGTCGCAGCCAGAAGCCCGTTTATCGGTACTTATCTCCTAGACGCAGGGAAGGTGTACGTTAGCTCCTCGCTGGGGGCTTCCTCGTTTTGGCTCTCCTTGAACCAAGGCGTGGGGCGTGCTGACCCACAATCTCCTTTGCAGCTCGTCAGGACGAGGAAGTACCTGTTACTTCACCTGGCGGCGCGGGAAGTTGAAGCTGAGCTGCACGTGGCGAAGCGGAGAGCACGACGACCTCAGGCAAAGCGAGGTCTTGTGCCGGTGGTGGACCCCAAGCAAAAGCTAAAGCGCTCGCCACGCTGTCCGCGAAGCCCGCTCTTGATTATCACGATTCGGCGCAGTATCAGGCCATTTAGTTGTTACAACTAGCCAGCAGGAGCTCCACATCATTGGAACAGTCGGGAGCGTCAGTACTTCGCGCGTCGCTTGAATGCGTAATTTTAACGCGTTACAGTCTCATGAGCAATGTTATATAAATGGAAATTTAATTTAAAGTAGAGGGAGGCGGTTGTGGCGGCTTGAAAACTAAAATAGTGGGGAGAGGTTTTAAAAGATCTGTGAGCCTCGAAGAACTTCATTCTGTTTCAAGAATCGAGTTGTAGCTATTATAGTAGAAGCAGCAGCAGCACCAGCACCAATAGCAGTGGTAGCAGTAGTAGTAGAAGTAGTAGTAGAAGTAGTAGTAGAAGTAGTATTAGAAGAAGAAGAAGAAGAATACGTAACATTCTAGATCTCTTTACCTACAGCAAGATAAATTTTGAAATGTTGAATAACATTGGAATGAAGCTTTTCAATATACTTCCTGAAAAAAGTTATTATAAATTGCATGAAGATCAGAATTATCTAATAACATTCATGAGACAAGATGAATCTCGAATTATTCTTGAACTCAATTATGAGTTCGAAATTGTTTTACCGGACCGAATATCAAGAGCGATAATTCATCATTTTGATCTTTTTATTGATCTTTCTGATAGAGTACAAAAATATGCACTATTTATTCAATATCAGGGATGTGATCGATTTCAATTTATTATTTAAATGTATTTGTATATCTTATTATATCTCAATAAAAATTGTATTATATAAATTTATTTTCTGGAGAGGTAAATGAGTCATTAGTATTAAAGCAGGTTTCGACTTGTCTTAATTCACTAGTGTCAAATATAAAAAATGGAAGTACCTCACAGGTAAGAGCGAAGGTTGGGGCTCTTTTCCTTAAAATAATAAAAACAATGTAATATTTATAAATGAAAACAACACTATTTATTTAAATACAAGCTAGATACATATAAATTTATATTTGTAATTCATTGTTGTATAGTCTCCTTATTTATCCAAGAATTGTGAGTATAATCAAAGCCAAGCCATTTTACGAAGACTTCATTACCCCGTCTTCTGAGAATTTTTTCTACAAGATAGATATCAGGATACATAGCTTTCTGTAGTTCTTGCTCATAAAAACCACCAACAATGGGATTTTCTTGATAATCTAGTAGGTGATATATTACAGATTTAGTTCTCGAAATACGACGAATAGTAAAAACTTCTGTAGACCAATTAGGCGTATATCCTTTCTCAAAAACGTGTTTAGACTTGCTCACTCGCACTTTATCTCCTACCTGGAATTTCGGTTTTTTGAAAAGACGATGATCGTAAGAGAATCGTGTCAAGACCTGCATTTCATTTTCTTTAGTCACGTCTTTAGGCTTCATATTTATTGTGCGATGTTTTCGATTATTATAAGATTCTATTAAACTGGGGAGAAAGTCAATCCACTTTGAATTTCCTATTAAACTGAATTTTTCCCACGTAATATTTTTAGTGTTCGATTGAAACGTTCACAAATTGATGCTTTAAGATTGCTATAAGTAAAATAAAGGTTTATTTTATATTTTTGATTTAGACTTTGAAAATTTGTATTGTAGAACTCTTTGTCTCTATCCACTTGGATATTTTTAGGAATGCGTCCCTTTTTTAATACAGACTCCATTGCGTTAGTGACATCTGTAGCAGTTTTCTGTTTTACTGGAACTTCCCAAGCATATTTAGAGAACGTATCTATAATAGTTAATAGATAGCGAAAACTTTTATTCTCTCTAGAATAGCTTTGCATCTCAACAAGATCAGCTTGCCACGTCTTATCTATTCCACGTATATCGACTTTTCGACAAGGATAGTTTCGACGTACTAGTTTGTGTAACTCATCCACCACTCTTTGATGTTTCATTTT